TATATTTTATACGAATAAAATAATTTAATAAATTTTAATTATAATAACTTATCCAAATTTTTCAAGCAGTAACTTAATAAATATGGGTTAAGATACCGCATGTGTTATTAGGAGCAAGTCTCATATAGCCATATTCACCCCAAAAGGCTCCCCAAGAATTTTTAACAATCCAGTTTCCTTATTCATCATAGCCAACAGCTAATACTTCATGATTAAATACAATATTAGGTTATCACATCCGTTGTAAATTCCAGACTTATAACCACCCCAATTATAAGCATTAACATAAACAGAAACAGGAGAGAAATTCAAAGCACGTTTTAAGTCATTTGAAGTGCTTGGAACTTAAATCCACTATTTAGGCTTAAAGCCATTATTTGTGCCAGTCATATTACAATTTTTCTAAACTGCAATATAGGGATAATTGTCTAAGGTAGTGATACCTACTTTAGAGGCATAATCCAGAGATTCAACAGCAAATCCTCCATTACATCCTTAAGAGTAGTAACCATTTGCAGATATGACACAATCAACAAGTTATTGCTCTGAAAAATCAACCAAAACTTTGTTTTAAATGAAGTTAAATGACTCCATTAAGGCAGCTCCAGCGAAACTCCAGCACGAACCACAGTTACCTTAGTATTTAACTGAAGTTACAGCACCTTATGTTCTCCAGTCTATTGAAGCAAGTAAGGTTTTTTGAATTCAATTAAGTCTCGATATTAACATCATTATGAGTTTCCTCTTAACTGATTCCTTTCATATAATGGTCAACCAAATCCTATTTCATAAGAATTTTTTCAGCAAATTCTTCTATAGTCATATCTGAGAATTAGTTTAAACAGATAGAATAGGTGTTATTAGGATTACTGTTATGCTCCTTAACCTTTTACAAGTTCTCAAAGAAAACCATTTATCTAAATAGTTTTTCATGTTCATTCAAATAAACTCTTTGATGTTAGCTTGACCATTTATTATAAGCAAGAAGTTTTTCTACAGTTATATCTTGAGCCAAAAAGAGAG